AATTAGAATCAGTCAGAAAGAGTTAGAACCATTCAGTACCAGTTGGAACCAATCAGAATCGATTAAAACCAGTTAGAACCAGTCAGAACCAATTAAAACCGGTTAGGACCAGTCTGAACCAGTTAAAACCAGTTATAAACAGTCAGACCCAGTTAGAACCAATTAAAGCCGGTTAGGACCAGTTAAAACCAGTCAGAACCGGTCAGAACCAGTTAGAACCCGTCAGAACCAATTTAAACCAGTTAGAACCAGTCAGAACCAATTAAAACCGGTTAGGACCAGTTAAAACCAGTTAGAACCTGTTAGAACCAGTTAGAACCATTCAGAACCAGTGAGAAACATTCAGTACCAGTTAAAACCAGTCAAACAGTCAGAAACATAACCAGTTAGAACCAGTTAAAGCCAGCTGGAACCAGTCAGAACCACTCAGAACCAGTCAAAACCAGTTAGAAACATTCAGAACCAGCTAGAACCAGTCAGAACCAGTTGGAATCAATCAAAACCAGTCAGAACCAGTTAAAACCAGTCAGAACCTGATAGAACCAGTCAGAACTAGTAGTGAAGTCCTATTACCACCCGTCTCTCTCAGGCAGTACCAGTGATACCGTGGATGCTGGTACCAGATGTGTTTCTGATGGTGCTGGTCAGTGATTGGGTGACTGCAGCTGTTGGTCCGCCCACCTGATGTTGTGATTGGCCAGCTCCGTGATGAAGTCAGCCTCAGCGGGAGTGAGGAAGAGGAGGCTGTTTCCTCTTCCTCCGATCCGAGCCGTGCGGCCGACTCGGTGAACGTACTCAGCAGCTGACGAGGGAGGAGTGTACTGAAACACAGAAGGAACGGACCTCTAACCCGGTTCTGGTTCTGGTGGGTTTCCATCCTGACTGTGCATTTACCTGAACGATCCAGGTGACTTGAGGGAGGTCCAGCCCTCTGGCGGCTACGTCCTGGAAAAGGAAGAGGAAGCTGAGCAAAGAGAAGAGTCACAGAGTCCTGCCTGATCCGAACCAACCGATTAAAGGCCCCAGGTGGCGGTGCCCCCTGGTGGCAGTGTGTCACCCCCCTGTGGCACCCCAGTCGCGGACCCTGCTCACCGTGCACAGCAGGACTCCAGTGGTGGAAGCGGAGAACTGGTGGAAAACCTGGCAGCGTTCCTGCGGAGGAGACACAGCCTCAGAGACGCTGACGGAGATAGAAACTGTGGTCAGCAGGGGGCGGTCTTACCTCCTGTTTCATGTTGCCGTGGAGACGCAGGAAGCTGAGCTCCTGATTGGCCGTGTGCCGGGTCAGGACGGAGCCGAAAAGCAGGTGCAGGAACTCGACGGCTTCGCAGCTCGACACAAAAACGATGATCTTGTTGCTGTGAGAGAACTGAGAGTGGCAGGTGGTCAGGTCTCCATGGCAACCAGGTGCAGCGAAGCAGCGGTTGCCATGTGAACACCTTGCACTGCTCCAGGATGAAGGCGGCCAGACAGACCAGCCGGACCTTACTGGGAACCAGAACCACAAACTGCTGCAGCTCCTCGGGAACAGCAAAGCTCTCTGATTGGCTGGGCGGATCAGAGGGGGCGGGGCCAGAAACACTGATGCTGATTGGATCATGCAAGCAGACGTCCGCCAGGCGAGTCACACCTGCGACACAGGAGGTTAGTGGACGTGGCGGGCCACGTCCTGCGGGGGCAGCGGCGAGCCGCCTCACCTGGACTCAGCGTGGCCGACAGCAACACGTTCTGCCGGGACGGCCCGGTTCTGTTCAGCCCGTTCAGGATCACCGTCAGCTCCCGGTCGAAGCCCAGGTCCAGGATCCTGGAAGCCAGAGGACCGGTTAGACCAGAACCGCCGGGTCCAGACCCGGCGGTTCTGGTCTAACCGGTCCGGACCCACCTGTCTGCCTCGTCCAGAACCAGCCAGCGCACGGCGCCGAGCGCCAAGCTGAGCGTGTTCTGGATGTGATCGGCCAGCCGGCCCGGCGTCGACACCACCACGTTCATCCCCTTACGGATCCTGGAGACCAGAACCAGCAGAACCATCAGAACCTCAGTCCAGCAGGCACTGACCCGCTAACAGCCAGAACCAGCCAGAGGTTCTGATGTACCAGACCGGACCTGGCCTTCTCTGCTTTCTTCTTCTCTCCTCCCATCAGAACGCCAGGAACGATCCAGGTGAACGGCTGCAGACAGAACCAGAACCAGGATCAGAACCAGAACCAGACAAGTCAGAATCATCGGGTTCCTGGCTCCAGCAGGCTCAGAACCCAAATTAAACTGCTTCATGGCCAGAACCAGATCTGGGATCACTTCACATAGGAACCAGAACCAGAGGATCCCTGTCTGCAGCAGGTCAGGACCCAGTGCTGCTCCTTCTCTGTAACTGGGTTCTGGTTCTGGTCCAGTAACTGGGTTCGGGTTCTGGTACCTTGAGAAGCTTCTGGAAGGTGTTGTAGGTCTGCAGGGCGAGCTGGAACAGAGCAGAGGTCAGTCAGAAGTCCAATCAGATCACCAGAACCGGCAAAGAAGGCGGAACCAACCTCCCGGGTCGGAACAACGACCAGCGCCAGCGGGCCGTCCGACCTGCTGACCTTTGGCTCGGAGGCCTGCAGGCGCTGGACCAGCGGGACGGCGTAGGACAGCGTCTTCCCTGAGACAGAGGGCACCGTCAGGTTCTGCAGAACCACAGGACCGGTTCAGGTCCGGTTCCGCTGGGAGGTTCTGATCTCACCTGAACCCGTCTGGGACCGGACCGCTGCGTCCCGTCCGGAAAGGAGAGCCGGGATGGTCTGCTGCTGAATGCTGCACACACACAGGTCAGAGGTAAGAGGTCAGACGCCCCACAGGGCTGCCTGGTTCCGGTCCGGTCCAACCCACCTGGTCAGTCTGGAGACGTTCAGAACCTTGTTGAGCGTCGCCACCTGCAGGAAGCAGACAGCCAATCAGAACTCTCTGACATCACTGGTTGCTACGGTAACACCATGACCCGGTTTAAGTCAGATAGAAACACAGATGACACCGTGCGGAGGGCCGATCAGAACCAGCCCTGACTGGGTCTGCAGCGGTTCTTTCAGGTCAAAGGTCAAAGAAACCTGCTCTCTGATTGGACAGAAGCCTGCAGGTCCTCCAGCAGGGGGAGACACAGCGCTCAGATCAAACACACTGGACACGTTTAGGGCGGAGCTTTCCCAGTAAACCGACCAATCAGGGCCGAATAAAGCAGAGGTGTTTTACCAGGTGGGGGTGCAGGTGGAGGTCTGAGAAGGAGGCGGAGGTGAAAACCTTCTCCTTCAGCTGGGCGACGGCCGGTCTGAGGGAGGAAACAGGAAGTCAGCCAGCCAATCAGCAGCAGCCGAGTCGGGCCAATCGGAGCGGAGCGTACCTGGGGATCTCTGGGATCTCTGGGTTGTGTCTGAACAGAGAGGAAGTCTTGATGCTGCCACTTCCTCCTTCCTTCACCTCCTCCTGCCTCTTCCTCTTCTTCTGTGGTGGTCCGTGGGTCAGCTCAGGGGGTGGGGCCTAAAAAGCATGCCTTATTTTAATACCACAGAAGAAGAAAAGAGCCTGATGTCAGAGAGAGCGATCACCTGCAGGGGAGCCTCTTCATCATCATCCTCTTCCTCTGGGGAGATGAAGCTCTTCTTCTTCTCTGGTTTCTGCTTCTTCTGTAAAAACATCAGTTTAACAGAACTGGGCCGGTACTGGACCAGAACCTCCCAACAGACCGGACCTCTGCTGGACCGACTGAGACCAGAACCAATCAGAACCAACTGACCAACTTAAAGACTTTCAGAATAAACATGGCCGTCATCAGAACCACAGAGGTCATTTTCTGGTTGAATCTGAACGGGTTCTCCTGTTGGCCCAACATCCACCCATTTTCAGGTTCTGGGTTCCGTTGGTTCTGATTGGTCTGGGTTCCGTTGGTTCTGCTGGTTCTGACTCACTGAGGTCCATTTCTTGTGTTTCGCCCATTTCCTGCTGCAGTGCAGTGATGATGATGATGATGAAGGAACACTGCAGATGTTCAGACACAGCTGCTGCTCTGCTGATGACGTCATCTACGTACCTGTATAAGAGAACAGGTGAGTCCTCGCTCTACAGAGCCAAACAGAACACGTGAAGAAGAATCCGGTCGGACCAGACTTCATGCAAAAACCGTCAGATTTTAACTCAAACCGTTTCCTTTAAACCAAGATCTCCCGTGTGACGTCAGTGGATCGATCTACCTCTAACTGACACGAGGACCAGGTGTTCAGGGATGAACTGCAGGTGTTGGTGTTCGAGTCGGACCCAGTCTAAAGAATCCTTAAACAGACATTTTCCTACGGAAGTTCTGCAGCTCCTCTCTTCACTGCACAGGAAATATCCGCCATCTTTAACAATGACCTACACGAGTTTGTTGACCTCCGGTCTGTCAAAATGTGGATTAAAATAAAAACAAATGAAACAGAAGTAAATCCTCACAAAGAAAACTGTACGGATACACAATGTAGCACGTGGGAGCCTCTTCCTGCTACGTCACGGAGGCCCCGCCTTCTGGAAGGTTGCCCTCAGTGGGTCTGCTCTTTAACGGTCCGCCGCCTCGTTGTGTAGTTGACTGAGCTGGGAGGAGTTTATGCTGAAATCAGGACGAACTTGCGGGAATAATCTGAGATTATTGAGATATTATAACTCAAAACTGGTCGTTGTTGATGCTATTGATCACTTCCTGTCTTTAACCTTTGACCTGATTAAGCCTGTAACAATTAAGACACAGGAAGTGCCCAAAGGTCCAGGACTCCGGGACACTCAGGCTCGGTTCTACAGCCCGGACCATCTGCTACTGGATCAGAAACAGAACTAGGCTGCTGTTCAGCTTGTTCTGGTTCCATTACCCTCACCAATCAACCCAGACCTGTTTGGACCTTGCCATCTCAGCCATCAGAACCATTATCAATGTCTAACTGGGTCACAGGAAGCTGGACTGTACGACCCAGTTTTCATTCTGATCCAATCCCAGTTCTCCATAATGTTTCAGCTCAGAGCAATGATGGTTCCGATCCGGTTAAACATCCAGAACATTCTGGGTTTAACCAGTTTGGTTCTCTCTCTCTCTGTTGGAGGACTTCCTGGTTTCTGTCCAATCAGAAACAGAGACACGCCCATGCTCTCCTTTGATTTGATTCTGATTGGTTCTGGAGAAACTGGGCCTGAAAGTTCCGTTGAACCAGTTGTTCGACAGGAACCAGGGCAGACCCGGAATGGTCAGAATTTCTGACCATCTGTGTGTTTAATGAAAATTCAGAATCTTCCATTAAACACAAATTATTTTGGATCCTCCTCCTGCAAATCTGATGGAACCAAAACTGGAACCAGAACCAGAACTGGAACCAGAAGTCAGCAGAACAACAATGATTTTATTAAAAACCAAACAACTTATAATATCAAGTTCCTTCATTCTGCCCAAGCAAGTCCAGGTAAACTCAGGTGTTCTCAGCTCAGCCCAACTGCTTGTCCAGGTGAGTCCAGGTACGTCCAGCTGTGTCCAGGTGCGTCCAGCTGTGTCCAGCTGTGTCCAGGTGCGTCCAGCTGTGTCCAGCTGTGTCCAGCTGTGTCCAGGTACGTCCAGGTGCGTCCAGGTGCGTCCAGGTTTCAGTTGGTGTAGAGGCGGCTCTCCAGAGACTCCAGCACAGAGTGTGGGTCCAGGTCAGCGTCCAGGTGAATAGCATCTGGATAAATAGTCTGGACAGAGACACAGATTGTTCTGCTGGTTCTGATCCGGATCCATGTTTCGGGTCAGCAAATGAAAGCTGTTGCCATGGTTACCTGCAGGCCTTCACAGTTGAACCTGAACTGTCTCAGCCTCTGAGTCACCGCCCCGCTGCCGTCATACGGAGCCGTCTGGAGCCGGTCCTGGACCTCAGAGCTGGGGGCTGGTTGGGTCACGGCATGGTACCTGCAGGCCCAAACGCAACCGTGAGCTGGTACCTGCACAACCTGGCCTGGGTTCTGGCCCGGCCGGACCTGCACCTGACCTCTCGCCGCTGACAGGGTCGGTTCCTCTGAGGGAGAGCCGCTGCATGCAGACGTCATTACTGGCCTCCAGGAAGAAGACTCTGAGGAAGAGAAGGAGCAGGAGACAGAAGCAGAACTATGGGATCTGGTTCTGGTTCTGGTTCGGTACCTGTTGGGCTGGTACTGGGACTCGTGTAGGCTCTTGGCCTGCTGCATGTCACAGGGGAAGCCGTGCAGGATCCAACCTCTGCAGCTGCAGTCCACCTGACTCAGACGGGCCTCCAGAACCGGCATCAGAAGGGAGTCTGGGACTGAGCACAAGTGATCAGAACCCAGCCCGTCCAGAACCTCAGAACTGAGAGACGGTTCTGAACTCACCTGGGCGGCCGACATCCATGTAGGGCTGAATCTGAGCTCCCAGAGCAGAACCGTCAGAGACCACCGACCGGAGCAGGCTGCCGCAGCTCACTGGAGGCAGACCGGACCGGGTCAGAACTGGGTCAAGACCAGGTCAAGACTAGATCAGAACCGGGTCAGAATCAGGTCAGAACTGGGCCAGAACCGGGTCAGAACCATCCTGTGTTTACCATCCACCACTTTGTACTTCTCAGACAACAGCCGGGCCAGGTGGCTCTTTCCAGACCCTGACGGGCCAACCAGAACTATTCTTGGAGTTCTGAAGTGACGTCGGGTCTGCACGAAGGTCAGAGCTGAGGGACCAGCAGAGACAGACATCAGGTTCAGTTTGGGTCGGATCAGAACCCAACATCTGCTTCCAGAACTCTGAGGGGGACTTCTGCTGATCACATGACTGCCAGAAGGACACAGACAGGAAGTAGGACGGAGGCAACAGGAAGATGGCAGATTGTTGCTTTAATGCCTGTATGTTCTGTTGTGGTCATGTGATCAGGCTCCGCCCCCTCTGCCGGCTCTACCTTGCTGGTAGACGTCAGCAGGAGGCTGGTCCGCGTTGAAGACCTTCAGGACGTGCTGATAGGCCGCTTTCAGAGCTGTGACTTCACAGCGGTAGCGCTGCACCTCGGCCAATAGCTGCTGGTCAGACAGGCTCCGCCCCTTCTCCAGGCGCCATCTGATGGTGTCGTTCTCCGGCTGGACGAAGAGCTGATGGTAGACGTCTGGGGACAGGAAGTGATGCTGAGCAGGTTCTGATGTCCTGTGATGAGGCCGGACCAAACCGGACTCACCTCCAGTGATGGGGTCGGTGAGCTTGCCGTGGTTCCTCTGCAGCAGAACTTCCTCTGGAGCGTCCAGCATCACTGCCAACACAGTAGAACCTTTCGGATCAGCTGCAGGTCCGACAGGCCCGGCTGGGAGGCTTCATCGGTTCTTACCAACGTGTTCTGGGATGATTCCAGCCCGCTGGAGCTGCAGAACCTGGACACGGGTCTGAGGGATCCCAACCAGCACCCAGCCCTGGAACGGCCAACAGAACCTGAACCTCCTGATGCTGGATGGCTCTAACAGAACCTCAGCGGTTCTATTAGAACCAGCTAGAAATGCTGAGGAAAATGCTGGCTAAGGTTCTGTTACTGAGTCTGGATCAGAACTAGGGAGCTCCTAGCTTCATTCAGTGTTTCTCCATCAAGTCCAACCAGAACCTGGAACCATCATTTCCTGGTTCTGACCCAACAGTACCAGAACCTCTGGAGCTCCCAGAGACCATCCAGTCCAGATGAGTGTGACCCGATGCTTCAGCTCTGGTCCGGTCCGGAGCTAAAGCATCGGCTTTCAGCTGCTTCATCTCCACTGCAGCAACCAGGCAGCTCTGTTTATAGATTACAGTCC